CTCCTGATGATATCGATACATTGATTGGGTTCAGGAGTTTATTTATCGTATTTTGTGTACATAGCATTAGGATTGAAAAACTGGTTTATTCCCTTAGCTTAATTAATCATATATTCAAGATTTCACTTGGTTTTACTGTTTCTCTGTTCATAGCATAGAAGAGTGTTCTTTTTTTCTACTTTCTCTAAGATATGAAACTTTGCACACAGAACCTTGTGTTCGTCCCTAAACGCAATTTTCATATCTTATAGTGGAGAGAAGTTCAATTAAAACCACATACTATAAACTGATGTAATAAGATCAACAATTAAATTATGTATCATGGAAAATAGGCTTCGGTTTGGTTATAGTTACACATTGTCTCTAACAAAGACTTGTATAATGGAAAACCCAATCAATCAAACTAGATCAGGGATTTAGGACCATCGAGTTATCAATTTTTTTTTTGTTAACTAGGAATTCTTTATGTTCGTGAGTGAAGTATCTGAAATATATGTTGGATTTCGGAATGCAGACATATAAATCCTTTGTTGTGTAGTCAATGTGGATTCGACTGCTAAGTAAATGGTCTAATATATTTTTCGTCTGGTCATGTAATTGGTACTTTTGTCATATGTTGTACAATTATATCTTATTTTTTCCGGAAAGTTGACTCATACAAGTCTTTGGCATGTGTGAGTTTGAGAGTGTACGTAACTACGTATATTTGCGTCAAAGTAAATAAATATTTCTATTCGTCAATATTATAACTCGTGAATTACGAGGATTCAATTAGAATATGAGAGATTCCACGATTCATGAATTATACGGTTTGGATTGACCGAGTCTGCAACAAGACGAGCAAAATAAGGCGTACGAGTTATGCAATCACGTTCAGTCATGAAAACTGTACATTTTGTCATATGTACAAGTCACAACTATGTAAAATAGATACAAAACTCAATCAAAAAATGATATGACTCGTAACAAAATCTTCAGTGCTTTGCGTGGCGGTATGTGCATGGAACAGAGTTATCTTGCGTAAAAGCATGATTATATAGATATTAAATAAAATTGGAGTAATATATGAATTTTATAATATTAATTGTATTGAGAATGATGAATAGAAAGAAATAGATAAAAGTGTTATATTTACCTACTAAATATCGATAATATAGATTCTATATTTAGAAATCCAAAAATGGTTTGGATAAATATAAAAATTTTATAATATTAAATTTTTTTATATTTACCATTATTTACCACCCATGATCATGTCCTAAGAAATTTATACTCGTCATTTTCTTAATTTACTTTCAAAATACTTGTGTAGTTTTTTACTATTGCATTAGCCACTTGCTATTAATAATTACGCGGCACACAACAAAATTATGTTAAAAATATCTGTTATTTTAACATTATTAGTTTCATTGTTGTTATAAATAAAAACAAACTTGAGAAAGTTTTAAAATACCACTTTTCAAATACCATTTTACAAAAATGTCACATTTTTAAAATATTTACAAAAATATTACTTTTTCAAAAATATTTTTTTTTATATTATTTATGTTTGGGTTAACTATATTTTATTAATGTTTAGTTATGAGGATTTAGGGGGTTGAGAGGTCAAAACATTTTTTTAGTAGAATTTTAAAATATAAAATTTAAAAATCTATAATTAATGGCATTTTTGTAAATGAACATCTCTAAATGTCATTTTTGCAAATATACACATAAAATATAACATATTTTTGCAATTTTCCAGTTTTGTTTTTTTCGCTGACATAATAAGTAATGCAAAAATATTGCCAATAAATACCCCAAAAAACTCACTTCACGTTCACACTCTGCTGCAACCATCAAACAACACCAAAAAGTCTCACTGTCTCCACTTAACCAACGCCTATGGGTTGTTGTGCTAGCTCCGCCACCGCCGGCCAGAAAGACGAGCCGGTCTCCGGCAAGAACACAGCACCACCTCCTTCCGTTGTCGAGGAAGAGACGGTAGTCAAAGAAGTCTTGTCCGAAACCACATTGGTCACTTCCTCTAACGACAACAATTCGACGGTGGAGACGACGACAAAGATTCCACAAGACGAGGAGAAGAAACCCGGAACCATCGACGTCGCTTCTGACCCGGTTTTAACCGAATCCGGTTCGTTTGAACCGGAAAAAGGATCGGAAGTTTCGGAGATTTGTAGCTTAAGCGAGAGTCTGCTTTCGATCGTCACTGGAGAAGACGAGGAAGAAGTGAAACAGAGGAAATCGCAGGTAATGAGACAGAGATCTCCGGCGAAATCTCGGAACCGGGTCATGGTTAATTACCCGACCCGGATAACCGATATGTCTCCTCGTAGGAGAAACAACGAAGGAGCTGGTTCGGTGAGGCTGGTGCCGTCTGAAAGATCCGAGAGGAGGTCCAGGTCGCCGGCGATGAACAGGTCCGTGATGGGTCCGAGTCGGAGTCAGTATAGTACGGAGAGTGGTGGTGGAGCAATGAGGAAACAGAGTCAGTCTCCGGGTCGGGTCAGACGCTATCCGAATAAAAACGGGTCGGAACAAGATAGTAATTATCAACAACAGTGGCCGAGTTGCGGTGCGGTTGGAGGAAATGACAATTCTACCCCTAAAGATTCGTTTGAGAACCCTCTTGTTTCATTAGAGTGTTTCATCTTTCTATAAGATTGTATTACGAAGGAAGGAATATTCCGGGGGAATAATAGACTCGTATTATCGCCGGAGTTTCGTTGTATTTGTATTGATTTATATATTTTGAAGTTATATTATCTATTCCAAGATTCAACATTGCATGTGTCTGTCTAGTCAATGACAAAATTATATATGATGTGTGAGTTGGGCGGCAAAAGATTTGCTTCTGTGACATCAATTATTATATTTTTCTGACAATGAAAAACTGAAAATCAGACGCAAGCAACGTAACTTTGACCCCCAAAATAAAAGGTTACCATACACTAAATTCAATTTACTATATTTGAATGAAAACACAAAAATGTAGTTTCTCTTTGTCTTTGGTAAAATTTTAGTTTTCATCGAGTAGACTCAAAATTTAGTAGTTTATAGACAGATAAATAGTCATTTGTAAAGTGTAAAATATATTGATGGATGTTCATGTTAACACAGAAAACAAATCGTGTATTTTTGGATCTTTCAACCGTGTAAAACAAAATTAGGGTCCTTCAGTTTGGTTACCTTTTTACATATTTTATAAAAAGACTTTACTTTGCAACAAAGGAAATATAAAAAAATGCGAATTTTTTGTTTGTCTGGTAAATCATTCAAACGTTTCCATAACAACTTTCTTTATTATTTTTTAAGGCTCATCTTTTGAAGAGACCATTGTAAAGATTTTGCTTTTTCAACACTTTCTTGCTTGTCCTTTTGTATCCCAACTCACGTAAACTTATTTATTGGTTGATGTTATTAGAAGAAGCTTTTTACCGTTAGATCTCTAAAACATTTGTTTGTGACCAAAAAAAAAAAAAACATTTGTTGTTGTCACACTTGTGCATATTGGAAAATGAAAATAGTATGCGACCACCAATTCTGATCAATCTCATCGTATTTGAAAAGGTTGGAATCCGGTTACAAGAGACGAAAACTAATCGATTATTTCCACTTTTGTAACATTTTTAAAAAAGTTTATGCAATTCAAACTACCTTGACGTAATACATCGACTCCCAAATTCTATGTCAAGCAAGATTTAAACCCTTGTTTCCAAACCGTTTATCTTTTTTTTGGAAGACAATTCAAATAAAAAATATTGAGAACAATAATCGTCTCTTGTAATCTAAAATCCAAAATTTTTTAAAAGATACGATTCAAATCGTTGTAGTTCTTTTCTTTTTGGTCACAACAAATCTTTGTAATTCTTAAGTATCCATACTTGTATAGTAACCCATACAAGTATCGTGTAACCATATTTTGAAGCTCTTCAATATTTCACAATGCATGGAAATGGATATCTAAGAACTATAAAGATTTGAAGACTGCTAGAAGATCTTTATCAAAAGGAGATCTATAACGGATAAAAGAATTGGTAGGGCAGAAAATGAAGGGACGATGAAAAACCAAAATTTGAAGTAAAAAGGAAACTATAGTTAATTTAAATAAATAAAACATTCGTTATGTGCCTTGGATCCTCTGGTCTAACAGGTGACCAATAAGTACCGTTGCATTCTTTTTTTTTTTTTGTTTCGCCTTTTTTGGGTAATGAGAGACCGTGTTATAAATTAGGACAAAATAAAGCTTAACTTTACAACATGTCAAAGATCTATAATTCCTAAACACTTTATAAAGAGGACGACGGTTTGAAACTTTGAATTCACATTAATGCATCTTTCATTCTCATAACTAATTTTGGTATGTTTATATTAGTACTACAACCACTATTAGCATAACCATGATGTTTGAATCCTAATTTAGACCAAGCGAAA